AGGGCCTTTCACTTTAACAATGATGTCATCAGGACCTAATTCTAATTCCAACTTTGCTGAGTATCTGACAGGACTCTTACTAGTTCTTGGTCCATTACTATAAGTTTTACATCTATGGCATGATGATATATCCTTTTGTAATCCTTCAACACAACGTTCTCCATGTGCACAAACTTCATCTTGTAGAATTGCCCGGAAGAAGCTTTTGCCTTTATTTTATTTAATTTATCACTCTGCGTAGCCAGCTGAAAAGACACACCCTTTTAAGTAAAAAAAAGAACAAATCATCCAGGTCACAGAGAGAAAGAGAGAGTGACTTAATTACTAATCCTGTGGAGGGTCCCTAGCCATCAGGTCTTGGGACATCAGTTGCTGGGAAACATGGGAACCATTTGCTGGTCACTATTGGCCCACACCAGAGAAGCCTTTGGTTTTTTCCAGCAGAGATCTAATGCTCTAGTGTTCACTGATGGTCAGAGTTTCTTTCTCACTACTTGAGATATTTGCATAAGTTCCAGCAGTTGATAAAATAACATGCGTAAAAGGAGGCCCATCAAGAAATGGAAATTTTGTCAGATATTCACATGACTGTTAATAAAGTACAACCATAAATATCGGTGGTTCATATATAAAAATAGATTATTTGAGTATCTGGACTTCATTATGATCTGATAGCATTTGAAGGATTCCAGGGTTTAACCAACTTGGGGTTCCAACAAAAGGTTCAATTTCTATCTTCTCTACGTCTCCAAATATCTGCCAAATATAAACAAGCAGTCTAATTCCAGGCTGTCTAGAAGTTTTATAGCTGTTATTTATCCTCTAGGGTTACATCTTAATACAGAACGCCAACTCCATTTTCAAATTAGATGGCTTTTGCCACACCTGTTTCACGTTCTTGTGTTGTGACTATATTAAACTACTCTCCAAGGTCAGAAGAGGGACAGGTGCAGGGGCATTACTATTAGAAACAGTTGTATGTTATTTTCAGCCAGCAAGATTTGTTTTGTTAACTTGACTCTGGACAAAGGAAATATTCAATGGGCTCTAACAGCTTCAAAGAAGAAAGGTTAGAACATGCTCGGTGACAGGCATGACTAAAAGCTGCTGCATGAAAGTTGGTTTTGTATAAGCATTCAAAATGTAATGCAGATCATACCATTTTAGCCAGGTATCTGAGGGTTGTTTTTTTTAAAAAAAAAAAATTCTGAGAAGATCTAAATGCAGACAGGAAGAACTATCTTATAAATAATATAGTGAGATTTGTAGTAGGTTTATGCACGTACCTTGGGTTTGCTTCAACAAGAACATTTGTGGCATAGAAATAATGCAATTTTCTATGGAACTTGCAAGGAAGCTATTTTTTTTAAAAGGGATTTATCATATTCTGGGATCTGCTATAATGGGATGATTCATTCAAATCACTATCAAATTAAATTAGTCCATCAAATCTTTGGGCAGCCCTAATCTGTAGACAATTTAAAAAGATTCTAAAAGAAGATTATGTTGAAAAAAGGTTACATACAGATAGACATGCAGCCCACTGATCAAAATAATCGATACCTTTAGAAATGAATCAAAGGTACATTTTTAACCACACAAACTTCATTCCAGAGAAATTATGCCATATCTTTTTACTCCATTCAGTCATGTCCAAGAATTACTTGGACAATTCCCTGGAGTTTTTTTGGCAAGGTTTTTCAGACTTGAAACAACCATGTGTAATTGTTTTCCATTCCATTCACAAGGACACCAAAATGAGGCTAGCAGGGGCAGAAAGCCAACCTGGCAGTCCCATTTGGTGCACGATTGTGTCACATATATGTAGGGAACTGAGATATTTTAACTACAGTACTTCAATATGGTTCTATATTCATACTGATATAAGAAATATTTCCCTAAGAATAATACTGAGCTTCACATCTGAAAACCCAACTTAATTCAATGTTTATTATTTCAATGTATTTAAGATTTAGAAACAAAGTCAGAGCTTAGAAGTAAAAAACAGAAATGTTAGTAAGTTATTATTTTTTGTGTTCTTTAATCATCCTCTTTAGCAGTTTTAAATGTCTCATGCAACATTTCTCATTACTTCCTTTCTTAAACAACCAGCAGCTTGATTTGATTTTATCTTCCTTTTTACTAAGACAATTATAATAGAAGGTTGACTTCCAGTTAACTACCTATTTCCTCTGAATGAGGCAAACAAGGACTTTAAATTTATTTTTCATTTTTCTATTTTGCTTTTAATGTGAGCCTTCATCTTTGCAAGTGATAATATTCAGCTCATTTATAACAAAGACATCTATTTACCATTCAAGATAGGCTATTGCCATCTAACTTTTTTAAAAAACAGATAGTTGGCTATTTTTCCAAATAACTATTTTGTTTGAGGTAGATTATACTGAAACATGAAATAAAATATTTGGATATTTTTTTAAAAAATAATGGTATTATCGAGACAGGGGCTTGCTGCAGAATTCAATGAAGAATTTAACAGAACATTCAAAACAAATGTCAAAAGCAATCAGTCTGGCCTACCATAATTTGAAATCAAGTTATTCACAACAACATCTTAAAAGAAATTCCCCACAATAAAGTCTAAAGGTAACTAACTACCATTGTGGAAAAAAAATAAAATTACAACCAAATTGTTCTGTTGCCTGGCTGAAGTTTATAAATCTGATATATGCCTGTATATCTGTGTTTATTATTTTAAATTCTGTTTTCTGATGTAGATGTGAGCAAACTTCTTGGCTCAAAACCCAAAAATGGAAGTACAGATGAATGCACTCTGGGCAACAAACAGTTTATTAGTCATAAGAGGACAGTGCAAATGCAAGTGATTTGAGCTATATATTATATTATGTAACATTGTATCTCTGAAATCTGGTAGATGACAAGGTAATTAAGAAAATGGACAGATTAAAAAAGAACATAACTAAGACATCAAATATAATCAATTAAAGTTTCCCTAAAGCAGGGGTGCTATCTGGTAATCCAGGAATAGACAGATGTGTGAGGTCATGAAAACAAATATTTTGGGGATATTTGCAAAGCACATACTAGGAGAGCAAGTGAGAGGAAGATATTTAAACAGCAAATGAATAGAATAGAATTTAGAATAAAACTTATTGGCCAAGTTTAATTGGACACAAGGAATTTGTCTCTGGTGCATAAGCTCTTACTATACATACAGACCACAAAGTGGTAAGTCATACAACATAACTTACAGACAACAATTGATAAATCACAACATACCGATAGCAGAAGATAGCAGGAGAAATGAGAGGTGAGAAAGATGAGAAGATGAGAAAGATGAGAAGATGACAAGGATTATAGCAAAAGCATTACATTGGTAAATATCTTTGAATAAATAAGGGTGAATATGGGTGAATAGTGAGTGCTAAGTTTTGAAGAGTAAATATGAAAAAAACTTTCCTATTTGTGTAGGCCAGGGGTAGGCAACCTTAGCTCAGGAATTCTGGGAGTTGAAATCCACGAGTCATAAAAGAGCCAAGGTTGCCTACCCCTGGTGTAGGCCCTCAGGTTTTATCCACATATTAGAACGTATGGCAGAGAAAAAAAACCCTGCTATGTTACTTTTATCTTTACCGCAGATGATCAAACAAACTCACACAACTTGGAAAATTGGTTACCTATATAGGACTGTTCTGGAGTGGTGTTTCTGTCAAATATATTAGACTGCAGCTCCCATGATTCCCACTTCCCATGGCTATGCCTACTTCAAATTAAACCAGTAATCCAATTTATCCAGAGGATACAACTTATTGAAAATTGGTTGGCAGGTCTCTTGTGCTCCTGGCAGCTAAGAATACCTTAAAGTATTAAAGTGGTTTCTGTTTACCTATGGCAAGATCATAGATGATAGTTATATTTGTATTTTTATGTTATAATATTCTTTTCAAGAGGATGGAATGATATTTACTTTAAATGAGAACTTTATTTTAAAAATCAACAATATATTAAATAATTGTTCATTTCATTTCAAACATAATTATATATTTTCATGGCTTCATATAATTTCCTTCTAAAGTGACCAGAGCTATCAGACTCATGCAAATTTTTTATACGATTGAACGATCCTTCTTAATATATATCTGTTGCATTTAACAGGCCTTTTAAAATGTTGCTCTCGGAGATGAATATATTTTATCTTGTAACAATCCTAACACCTAATTTACACCTAAGTTCTGTATTATATTATATTATGTAAAGAACTTGAAGAACAACTTCAAGGAACTATAATGTGCACTGAGAAGCAGTTGAGGAAGTAAAAAGTTGTTTTCACCTCTGGCTGGTTTTTGGGTTTTGTTAAAAAAAACATGGGGCAAAATATGTTTCCCATTTCTTCTCTACACAAGATCCTACACAAATTATACTGTACAGCCAAAGTATTTTTAACATCTTCTACCTATGAAACTTTGGAACATCAAAACTGTGTAAGTCTCCTCATCATAGTTCAATAATTAAACACTGATTACCACAGCTTCCAGGAAATGAAGCAAGATAAACCAGCCTGTGCAAATACAGAAGAAATTCATTCATATTGATAGAGCTGAAGAAACTAATTACTATTAACAAGGTTTTTGTGTGAAATTGCAGTATGTGCATACTCAATAGTTTTCTCAAGCTTGCCCTACCTTGAAGCTTTTTTAAAATGACATAATCTCCAAGTTGAGACTTGCAAACTTATTTTAGGATAACCTAAAAAAAATGTATTATGGAGTCGGGAAAGATGCATTTATCAATATTTATAGTGCACAAGTCTGATCATAGCAGCCAAGAAGGAACAATGTAAGTTTGGAAAGCCAAGTTGGTGTAGTGCAGTGTTTCTCAGTCTGGGCGAGCTTAAGATAGGTGGATTTCGTCTGCCAGAATTCCCCAGCCAGCCCTAAACCCGCTCAGATTGAGAAACACTGGTATAGTGGTTAAGACATAAGACTAAGAAACCAGGAGACCATGAGTTCTAGTCCCACCTTAGGCACAAAGCCAGCTGGGTGACCTTGGGCCAGTCACTATCCCTCAGTTCGAGGAAGAAGGCAATGACAAACCACTTCTGAAATCTTGCCGATAAACCTGCATGGACTAATCCAGGGAACTGCCAGGACTCGACCCTAAGTCAAAGACATAAAAACAAAACAAAACAAAAACGCATTAGCAAATGTGTAGAAACATGTAAAGGAAGAAAAAGCTGAAACACTCTTTATATAGATTGTTTTTAGCCTAGGAGAAAAGTTAAAGGAAACTTTACAAATTGCAAAATGTGTAGAAAAAATAAAATGTAATCCCTCATAATAATAGGTTCTGCAACCATCCAATGAGACAGGACAAATTACATGAGCTCTACATCCACCAGTGATTCTTTCCCTGTTGCTGAGTTAAAGCCTTGCCCACCTATCCCTCAGTTGGCAGAAAAACATCCCACCATGAAATCAGGCATCCCCTACCCTGTTGCTTTTGCATTGGTTCCTAATCACATCAGTCACCTAATTTCCCTCCAAGTTAATCAGTGAAAAACCCAAGCAAGTTTTATTTATATTTGTTGGCTTGCTAGCAGAATGACCATAAGCCAAACATCATCAAAGATCAGCAGAAATTGCTAAATAATTTGAAAGAGAAAAAGCCTGCAAGCAGTTGAGCTTTGCTACCAGTATATACATCACAGACCAACATGGCATATGTCAATCAAGCCCAAGAGAAAGTAGTGGGGATTGTCATAGCACTTTCCTGTGCTATGAACCAGAGCCAGAGCAGACAAAATGTTCAAGGCACTTAACAGCAAAATAGAGTACCTGACATAGCAAACCCACCATCAGATATCTATTGGTACAACTAAAACTGTAGCAACTTTCTTGGATATTTCAATAAAAGTGGTATTGCAGTCACTGATCTGTAATTGTTGATTGCAATCACTGGAACCACCATCTGTCCACAATGCTGCAAAGCTTTCCTTCCCATTTCTTTATTTTTTTAAAGCCTCCGTAACTTGCAACAGAAGGATGTTGCTGTTTTGCTTCTGTGAAGCTTTATTTATCAATATTTCCTTACCAAAAAGTGTCCATGGACCTAAAGAAAATCATAGGAACCAGAGAACAAGTTGTTCCTTCGCACTTTGATTACAATGCTACGTTGGTTCCATAAGAGGAAAAAAAAGAAAAGGACTGTGTTAGAGTCAATGGAGATCATATGTGAAGGAGTGTGGAAAGGCATCCAAATGTGCATATATCGGGGAAACAAAGGGATTAGCAAAAAGGGAACAAACCCTAAGGAAAAGACAGGATTGATTCACATGAGAACCAGCCACCAAGGCTTGTCTTCCCTCAATAGATGGGAAGAGCAAGAGAAGGAGAATGACCAATCTGTGCTGTCACCAACCTGCTGAAATCCTGACTGAAATTTCTAAAGTTGGCTTAGGAAATAGCTGATAGCTCTACGGAAGAGAAGTTTTTAAGCTGCAGTTTGGAATTCACTCAAAACTCTCTTGTTGAGCTCTGTCATGGTATTTATCTGGGACCCATAAAGTAGGATTAAGAGCCCACAATAAACCAAAGCAGAATCTATTTTGTCCTTTAAAAAAGAAGATATTTCACTAGGTTTTGCTCTGCTCAAAGTGTTTGTTTTATCAAGAATATAGGTCAGAAAAGTCCCAAGCCAGCCTCAGCAGAAAACACAGTCAAGATCCAGCCAGAATAGTGAATTTGCAGTTGATCAAGAATCATGGAAAACGGCTGTCAACTGGGTAAGATAGATGGGTCCTTATGTTTGCAGAGTTGAGTGCATATAGCTAAAAACTTACGTTATTAGTTTTAATTATATTTAATTACTGTGTGCATCTAATTGTTACCTTTATGGTTTACAAATTTGATGATCACATTGGATCTTTTTTGAGCTTTTTTGAAGAATGCACTAATTAGATGGGTCTAAGAGATAAAACCTAAAAGTGAATACATTGCCATTTAATGTCTTTAACTTGCTCAAATTTATCTATCATTGATTTTTCAATTATGAAAAATGTTTAAATGCTTATTTGGTAAAACCAGGACCTTTGTTATAGAATAATAATTTTTTACTTTTTCCCTATTGGGAAAAAGAATACAAATACAAAAAAAGATGGCATCAGCATTTGCAAAGCGTATAGTCAGATTAGGCAGATTGGTAAAGGCTGGAGGATGGAGATTTTGCAAGAGCCAAAACTATATTACTAATATAAAAACAATTGTACAGTGGAATAGCCAGAATACAGTACATCTGTCAACACTGTGACAATGGACGTCAATACAATGACAACTGAGAATCAGCAGCCATGTTACCTTTGGTTTTAGAGTGCCTTTTTACTGTTTTGAAGTTTAGATGGAGAAGATGGGAAGGGGTAAATGCTTGAGAGTTAGTTAGCCATAACAATGGCAGCTGTGTGGGAACTCAAGGACATTGCTTAATAAAGTTTTGACAGGCTGAGGAGTTGGGAAGAAAAGCCCACATTTTGCATTAATTGGAGAATGTGATTTCTGACAGCTTCTTTGGGGTGGGAATTGCAACTTGTTACTTTGTATCTGGGGGGGAAGAAATTTCAGTCTTGGGTTCAACTATGTAAGTGCTGATACTTTGTTTCCTGAATAAAATGTTCTTTAAGGAAGAAGTCTTTGCCTTGAAGTTCTTTTCATTGGTTTCATCTATTGGAACCATGACAACATCCTTACCTATCTCTTCTTAAGGAAGGAGGATTACTAATGCTTTAATACCAACAAACCAAAGGACAGCTTTAAACCTTTCTCATTTTTAGACGGGAACAAGATGAACACAACCTCCTGGGCTCTTGGGAAAAAAGTTCGCCAAGATACAGATTTTGTGCCATGATTAGGAATATTATTTCCCCTGAAAATTCTATTTCCTTCTTAATTGTGGATTACACATTTGGGGGCAGTCATGATTTCTATGAGCTACTAGGTCAGTGGTTCTCAACCTCTGGGTCGGGACCCCATTTGGGGTCGAACGACCATTTCACGGGGGTCGCCAAACAACGCAGTCTTAATCTTGAATAGAGTCTAATTCTATTGGCTTTCAAAAGCCAATAGGAATTGTCCAGGCTGTCTCTGCCCTGCTGACCCCACCAAAAGTCCCATTCTGCAAATGGTGCTGCACCAGTTGAGCAGTCCTTGACTTACGACCGGTTGAGTAGTCCTCGACTTACGACCGGTTGGGGGTCGCGGCAGTAAAAAGGTTGAGAACCACTGTACTAGGTACTTGTGAGATCTTGCTAGAGGAGGATACAAGCTTCTTATTTCAGAACTAAAAACTAAGCTCAGAAACTTCCATGAGCTTTGTGAAACTGACCACAGGCTTATAAAATTGATTAGATTAAGTATTCTCAAAAGATCATCCAATTTTATTACATCCATTTTATGTGAACTGTTGAATTATTTAAAAATCCTAGAATAAATTTGATATCCATTTAATTAAATTAACACATCATTCTTAACACTGACTTAGTTATACACTTTGCATAGAAGTAGGAGTGCTTTATATCTTTGAATTTCTCTTAAAGAGATATTTATAAATACCAAAAAATCGTACTTTTCTAATGTTACCTTTTGTGCTGGTTTTTCCTCAGTCTGTTCTTTTAAAATATGTTTTGTTAATGTTCTGTTTATCCAATAAGCAAGCATGCATATATATAAAACCAGTTCAAATTAATTTCACTGTTGGAGAAAGGCCTATTCATTGATGGTTAAACTGGTCCAGTCTAGCACTGTCTTCCCAGTCTAAAACATAGACAGAGTTACTAGCCAAGTTACTCAGCCTGTTTCTGTGCCTAAAATCTGTACCTTAAGCAACCCCCTGGCCCATAGACAGACAGGTAGCTAGCTATATAATTTTGCTCCCTTTGAATACATTGATAGAAAATATGCCAAACTAGAGTGAGTTTGACAGATGAGCAAACCTATACGGCTAGTCATCTGTTAAATTTTCCTTCTTTTGTATTCCCTGTGTTAAGAATTATTGGTGAATGTTTTCTCATCAAGTGTAATATTTAACAGGAAAAAAAGAGGAAGTGGGAGCCAGAGAAATCCACCAATCCCTATTCTTAATGTGCCCTTTACACTATAAGTAAAAATAATGCCATTTGCCAACATTGCAATTGTGGCAGAATTGAGACAACAGAGGTGGCAGTAATTTTATACTAGAATAGCTTTCTGCTGGCTTAATAAGCAGTACTTTGACTTAGTTATGAAGAAGAGCAACTGCTTTATATTTTTATGATCTATTTTTCAATAAAAAATAATTTATAATATGATTGTATAACCCATAATAATGCTTAGATGATTATTTCTAGTTACCGACATCATGTCAGTATAACCCCCACCTTATTAATTTTCTATTAACCTGAAAACAGCTTTTATAAAATCTGACAGCTCATATCCTCCTAATTACTTTTAGTAAGTAACTAACATTTTTATTTACTTTTAGTTATTTACTAAAAGTAAATAACTAAAATTAGATTCCCTTCTTCTCCCAACTGTGGATATGGATATGATGTGGCAAATCCACTGGCTTTTTGATTATTCCTGCAGTTAGGAGTTGGGATCAGCCTAGCTTCTATTGGCTACATTAGATCAGGAGCCCCCCCCCTTCCTCCCTGGGTCACTGCCTTTCATGGCTACTTTGACTTGGGCTACTGGAGAGGTTGGGCATCCAACTTATATCGGCAGACCTATCTCTGACTGGCCCTTTCTATGTTAGGTTTTCCATAGGCTCTTTTATACACAGTACAGCTCTTGTAAAAAAAAGTTGATCTTGCTTTGTTCAGCACGTTGATTTCACCTGGGGAAAAGCAGGGTTATGCCAGCATTGGGTGGCTAGTTCTGTCACCACTGGATACATTGCCGGTTTTCAACTGCTCTAGTTCACAAGAGATTTTATATGGCTATATGTTTGACTTTTTTTTTTATCACTTTGGCATTGCAGCAGTGACATTCCATCTACTTCATTCCAACTCTGATGCTGTTGACCAGAAGGTCAGAACTGGGCTCCTTGGTTACTTAGCGCCAGCTAGTATCACCAGTCAAGGATAGAAGTTGCTGAATATCATTATTTCTTGGTTCATCCTGTGCTCCTC